ACAAAGCCTGTTGGCTATCGCTCCATCTGCAGCAAATGCAGCTTCTGAAGAGCCTTTTTTCTGCTGCCGTCTGCTTCTGTTTAACCACATCTCGGAGGCATATAAAGGCACTTTTTGCTGCACTACATTTATCTGAGAGAAAATCGCATAAATCAGATGACATGTGCGTCTTTTTCATCACTGATTCGCCACCAGGAGGTACTTACGTAGTAACCACACTACAGAACAAAAAAAGTGAAATTACAAATTTAAGAATTGAGTGGACCTGAACAGATATGAGCAAAAAAAACCAAAACGTACTATTTAATTTAAGATAATGGACAAGTTAGAAGTGCAAGAACAAAAATAGATAAGTCATGGTGAAAAGGTGAATGAAGAGTTGAAATAGGTATATAAGAGTATGACTGACAATTTAAACAAAGCATGGAGTAACAGTTGAAGGTGTAAAAGTGAACGAACACTAAACACAGAAAGCAAAAAGTTTGGATTAACAAGTGAAAATTATTAGCTAAAAGTATGAGTAAACAGTTCTAATTGTTGAAGACCAACAGGGAGGGATCACTGTTATAATATAAATTAATGAGGAAATAGCTCTGAGCAAAGTAAACGTTACCTGGAAGGACAGAAATAACATCTCACCACCGCTGTGGTACCATCTATTATTCAAATACGTTTTAACAGGTAAGCAGAGCGCAAGAGAAAACAATCACAAAGACTCCGATATATGCAGGAGCCCATTTTATAATACTGCCTTACTACCTGTGTAACATGAACCATCCATCCATCCATTATCTATACACCGCTTAATCCTCACTAGGGTCGTGGGGGGCTGGAGTCTAACAGGGCTACACTTAGAGACAGACAACCAAGCACACTCACATTCACACCTACAGATATTTAGAATCACCAAGTAACTTCAACATGTTTTTGGACCTTGTGGGAGGAAGCCGTAGAACCTGGAGAGAACCCACGCTGCACATGGAGAACATGCAAACTCCACACAGAAAGATCCTCACCGGCACGCGGACCGGTGACCTTCTAGCTGCGAGGCAACAGTGCTAACCACTGATCCACCTTGCAGCCCTAACATGAGCCATGCTATATGGATAAAAAACATCCTCACCCAAGTAGCTATTCAGACTCCTAACATATGCCAACCTATATGTTACTAATGTTATTTGTACCAACAAAAAGAACAAAAACCTGCCATAAACTCCGACATGTTACATGGATAAAAAACTACTTTGGCACGATCCACTTTTATATAATTGTTAAATAAAGTCATTTAAACTCAGATCAAATGAACACGAAAGCATGTGTTGATGAAGGTGAACCACTGCTTTAAATACCTTGCTTACAGATAAATGCATTAATATTAAAAATCTAATCGTGTAATAAAAAGGGCTGCAAGGTGGCTCAGTGGTTAGCGCTGTTGCCTCACAGCAAGAAAGTCACCGTTCACGTCCCGGTGAGGACACCCGGGATCTTTCTGCGTGGAGTCTCCATGTTCTCCCCGTGCAGCGTGGGTTCTCTCCGGGTTCTCCAGCTTCCTCCCACAAGGTCCAAAAACATGTTGAGGTTAATTGGTGATTCTAAATTGTCCGTAGGTGTGAATGTGAGTGTGCTTGGTTGTCTGTCTCTAAGTGTAGCCCTGTGATAGACTGGTGACCTGTCCAGGTGTCCCCCCTGGGATAGACTCCAGCCCCCCACGACCCTAGTGAGGATTAGGCAGTGTATAGATGATGGATGTAATAATAACATTTTGCTATTTTTCACAATGTAATACAGTATTTTTATGCTGTTACAACCTAAAAGTTGTATTCATGCTACTGTTCCAGTGCAGCAGGTCGTACTGACATGACCCAGAACGCGACGTGACTCAAATCATTCGCTTTGAATGAATTTATTAAATATTATCTCGTAATATTACGCTCAGTGTTTTTATCTGTGCATGAATCTCAACATTCCCACTCACACTTAATGCTCCATTTTCTAGGTGTTTACCTTCAACACAGAGGAGATCGAGAGAGAAGGGTGAGTACGAGCATTTCCATCCCCATCATACAAATATGAGGCATGCAAATGACGGCAGGTCGAGACCTCACGCAGAGGAAGCCAACGTCGCCACAATGCAAACAGAACGCATACAAATGGAGCGTGACGTGTTGTTGGCTTTCAGGAGCGTGCTGGTGAAGAGGATGTTCAGGCCGTCGGATGAAGATCTGTGTCCGTCGCCTCACAAACAGATCAAAGAGGAGACGCACAAGAGAGGTACGAGACGCTTCCTGCTTCGTGTTGGTGTTTTTGAGCCGGTTCAGGGAAGGAGAGCTGAGAAATATGAAATCAGGGAATGCAAACCAAACATTTCTGATCATTTACTACGTTATTTATAACAAATCAGGGGACACAGTCGGTCCAGATCCCAGGCCTTTTGTTTCCCCGTTAGAAAACACGATTCATGCCACATCGCAATTTAATATTCGACTAATTATTCACTTCATTCATCCCACAAAAACACCAACCCCATCCTATTTGTGACTTCTCAGATGTGAGTTGCTCGTCTATTTCAGATCACTGCAAATTAGGTCAGCAGCTTTGATTTTCCTCGTCAGCTGATCTGCTGTACGTCGACGGAGCGACCTCTCCTACATTTTAGCCGCTCTGGAGCCGCACACATGCTTACATTTTAGTTTTTCTCCACACTTCAAGGAATTCTGAGACTAAAAACATCATTCACGGCCGTGTTCACGTAATAGTCTCCCTTGCAAGGTCCACTGAGTCACACCATCTTCCTTAGCAACCGCCTTGTTGTGAGGAAAGTGTATGTTTCCGATTTCTAATTCATTATTTACATTAAAAACATCCCAACAAAAATAGCCCAAGGTTATTTCTTCAAATTGTTTGTTATGTCCAAACAACAAACCCCAAATGCGAGGGAGAAAAAAGCACCGTTGGCATTAAATAACCAACAGGAAAAGGGATTTTAGTGCTGCCAAATTAAAGTAATAATGTGTACGTATCTCTATCAGTGTATAGACGAAACACAGGCATATATTAGAAGTATACTTTGTGATTATATAAAGTAAAGGTCTGCCCTCCTTGCTCCTGCAGTGTTGTTGTATGTAAGAAAGGAGTCGGACGAGGTGTTTGACGCTCTGATGCTGAAGTCTCCCACGCTCAGAGGCCTGATGGACGCGGTGAGTGATGCCTCCTCTGTTTGCATGTGAGAACGATGTCAAAGGCACAGTTTGAGCGAGCACCTGTTCACAAACCGCTTTCACTCGTCAGATCTCAGAGAAGTACGGCGTGCCCACGGAGAGGATAGCCAAAGTGTACAAGAAAAGTAAAAAAGGGTGAGCGAGGAAACACGCCGCAATGTTATTTGCTTAATTGGAGCTTTTTGCATGTGTATGTATGACTCCAAACTGTTTTGCATCAGCATCCTGGTGAACATGGACGACAACATCATCGAGCACTACTCCAACGAAGACACCTTCATCCTCAGCATCGAGAGCTACGCCGACGCCTACAAGGTCATGCTGACGGAGATCTGACGGCTCGACCTGAGAGAGACTGCGGGAAAAAAGTCAAATGGGACGCTGAAGTCTGGCGAGACAGTCCACTGGTGGAATTGCACCGACGCTCCGAGGTCAGCGTCGATGCACCCCGATCCCTCTCCAACACTGTTACACTATGAGGCCAGTCGAATGGAGGACATAAATAAAGGACGTTCTTATGGACTAGTTTTACTGTACTCATCCTCTAAGTTGTGAGGTGAACTGACGAACCACAGATCCTCCATTTTCACTGAATATTTTTATTGTATAAAAGAATTTGTATGTTTATTCTCACTTTGTACAGACTTGTGTATTTTTTTTTTTTTTGCCAAATACCACATCAGGAGTAGCTGAACTAAACACCTGATGTCCTGTATGTAGCCGCAGCTTGAATTAGTCAAAGTAACTTAGCAGCTTTTCTTTGCATGCCAGCTTTTGTTTTTTATTTTAGTTGTAATATTATTTATTAACACTTTAATATTTTTTTGCATTTCTTTTAGCAGTTTATCCAAGAATTTCAAGTACTTTAATGCATTTCAGTGCCCTTATCCCACCCCTTAAAGAGTACTCAAGGAGTTTTAAAATTGCTCGTCCCTTATCTTTCAGCCATATTGTAATATTTACTAGTAAAGAAATAGATTAATATGTGAGGCCTTACGTGAGATGACTCAGAAATACTGTCAACAACATCTCATGGGAGACAAGTGGTACTCTGTTGTTGTCTCTTGTTTGAATGTGTTGAAAATTAATAAAGATGTAAACATAGAGATGTCTTTTTTTTTTTGAAAACTGTGAGAGGCTGAAGGTTCCTTTGAGCTAAATGCTAACTTACATGCTACCATGGTCCCAACAACAACGCTAACATATTGATGTATGGTGACTTAAAAAGGCAAACCAAAGTAACTAAAGAGTTAAACATTAAAATAGTCAAGCTCTTTGACGAAGTAATTAACATAAAGGAGGCTGCAATGTGCGTTTTAAGCCACCAAATAACTAGCTGACCTGAAATGGCAGACTTGCAAACTTGTTTAGCTTTTTATTTCGTCATTTGATATTTATTTGTGTTTTCCAATTAGAAAAAGAGCTCAGAAAAACATTTGCTTTACCTAAATTTAGCTTTTGCTACGGTTCGCAGTGGCTTTCTGCTCCCCAGTTAGCTTTTACTTGATATAGTATTAGTACTCACTTAGCTTCTTCTGTCAATTTACATTCAGATATTTGCACCCAATTTCATAGCAATTTGTCCCGTTATAACCACCAATATGACCTGCATTGTGGTATATGCACAGAAGTTCATGACAAACCATTAAATAATTGAAATATTTCAGTCTTCTGGCCAACATCGTCTTTCCTGCCTTATTGCTAACATGGTAAATTAAATATGTATTCACTACATGCTAAATTACATCAATATATAGATTAAAAAAAAAAAAAAAGAATTAGGCATTTTCCCATTTTGTCTTTATTTGAATAACAAAATGGACATCCTACACAGAACACATAATGCAAGTTAACAATACAAAATCTACAAAATGATACAGTGACAAAGGTTTTTTTTTTTTGTTTGTTCGACAGGTAGCAACTGTACAGTATAAATGGATGCAATACTGTGTTTTTTTTCCTTTGTATTTAATTCATCTATATTTGGCACTTGACCACAACATGCTATTGAAATGTAATGTGGGACTGAAGTACCTGAAATTGAAATGTGCAGAAGCCTGGAGAATTAATCACAGCTGTATTTTTTTTTTTTTTCACCCCAAAGTCACATTTATCCACCACAATATCTCATGTTGTTTTCAAATCAGCAGGGACAGGCAGGTGTAAATTAATGCGGATGTAAGCGGCGGAGAGCTATCTGTAAATCCTGCAAAAAAACACAGCGAGGCCTGGTGGACACCTCGCAACCGACGTCAGTGCGTTAACCTGTCAGTTAAGTGTGTGTTATAGTTAGAAAAAATATCTGTAACTGTCATGGTAGCATTCAAAAACTGACTAGCTGTAGTCAATATTAGTTGCAGATGCGAACAAAAGTGCACATTTAGGAGAACAATGTTAGATTATTGGTGCACTACAGTTTGAAGGACTGCTTAAAGATCGATGCACAGTACAGGAGAAACTTGCCAATGTTTACGTTCTTGCCAGCGGGGGGAGATCGGAATCAAACCGTCGTTATTTTCTAATCCCTAAATAAACTAAATGCAGTAGATGATATCCAAAGCTGAATGCATAGCAGTATGTGTGGTCCTCTCCTTTGTTTTAACATCTAGTATAAATATGAGTGAATATACTGTACAACTTTCTTTCATATCATTATTCGTCAAGTAAAAGAAAAATAAAATGTTTATCGTCACATTCCAATAATTTATACGTCAAAAATTTTTACAGTGAATCTCTTCCGTTGCAGCAAAACGCCGCAACGTTATCACGGAGTAGAAGAATATATAAGTACATACTATATATTCATATAACATCTAGCTTCTTTTTTTTCTTTTTTCCTTATACACTTGTTCAAGAAAGAGAGTCACAGCTCGGTTTATATGCATATGTCAAGTTCATGTATATGTGAGTAAAATGTGAATGTGTGTGCTTCTGTGTCAGTGTGTTTGTGGGTTGAACTTGGCATAAAAAGTCACTTTCAAAAGAACAGATGTTTGTAATCTGTAGTCAGAATATTCCCCTTCATCTAGAAGTCTTGAGTCAGTTTTGGTTCATTGTAACATTCCTCCAAAATATGTATTTAAAAAAAATAAAACAACAATAAAGGAAAAAAAAAAAAAACTTCTTTCATCCCTTCTAAAATTCGCTTTTGGTTAAAAACTACAATTCCCAGATCTTCCGTCTACGTAGCCATACTGCAGCTGAGAACACTTGTAGTCCCAGATTCATATACTTCATTTCTTCCAGTGTTAATGTGGAGTTAAGATTTCAATACTTAGCAAAAATCTGTGCGTCTTCCAGAAACAACCCGAGTCGGTTGCGCAGGACGGCACGATTCCCTTCAGATCGGGAATTGTGCTTTTAAAAAGTGACAAATAAAAGGAATAAAAACAAAAAAGCGAACTTGGATTCAGCTCAACGTACCGCATGAATGTGCTGGATTATCCTCGCTGACAGAGAGAGCACAGCTTGGATTCGGTGTTTAACAAGTCTCTGATGGGATGCCGGTCCGCTGACCACTTAGATTCGTACCGTACACGAGAGCCGTGTTTGTCTGGAGCTTTTGACCAGGCATAGAGGCGCATGAACACTGTGTGCACGTCTAAAGGATTATATATGCGTCAGGCTTCGGTATTTGTCGTATGTACAGCTGCGTGTTGTCTATGTGTGTGTTCATGTGCCTTTATAGCTCAAGATATCAAAAAAATCTCAGGCGGGTCAGAAGGGAGAGATTTTGAAAATGTGTTGAATTGATCAAGTGTGGAAAAGTCCAGTTTTCTACTGTCCAGCACTGCTGGGATCACACTGAAGCAGTCGCACGATGGAGGGGTCGTTCTTTGCTCCTTCCACAAACTCCTCCAGGGACAGTTTGCCTGAAAGACAGATTAGAGTTTAATGAGCACGTGTCTTGTTTGTTTGTTGCAGCAAAGTTAAAATATCAAGATTTTCAGAGCAACATTATTTCGGCTAATTAATAAAGTCAAATATGCTAATAAGCGTCGTTAAGTGAGTTTTCTTTTTAGCCGGTTTAGCTGCAGACACTGAGCAGTGCAGCAGGAGAGTGCAAATGGGTTTGTTAGTATCAAACGAGGATCCTTCAGCAAAAGTCTTAATTAACTTTCCGACGGTCCTTGAACTAATCACGTGTGACTTGTGGTTTAGTCAGGAAAAACAATCACATCTCTGGTAAAACATCTCTAGTATGTAGAGGCTAGTGACAGAAAAATGTTGTACATGTTGGCTCCGGGTTTAAAAAAACAAAAAAAAAAAGCTAATTTTCTGCTCTGTTTCGTTTTTTTTTAAAAATTCAATGTATGGCGTTGCAAGGCTGCACAAAAGACAGTCTGATTTGTCTCTTTTTCTAGGTCTGATTGTGCTGACTTTAAACCGACATGCAGGATGTTATTCTGCAATAAAAACTGCCTAAAGTTCTGAGGGTTAAAGAAGAAAAAAAAAAAGAATGTCTCACCATCTCTATTTGTGTCCATCTGCCTGAAGATCTTGTCTGTGCGCTTCTCAGGTGTGGATTCGTCCTCAGGCATCTTCATCACCGAGGAAACCATCTTGTAAATGGCCTGAAGACAGAAGGAGAGAAATAAACACTTGTTAAAACGTAGAAATTAAAGCTTTTACATCCCTGACGGAATAACCGTTACCTTAAAGTTCTTCTTTGCCAATTTAACCTTGAGTTAATTTAATACGTCACAAACGGTTGACATCTCAGTTTCTTTAAGCGACACACAACACCAGTGATAAAGACGACCACAGAAAGTGTGCGTCCAGTCCGATGACACCCAGAAAGCACAACCGCAAAGTGCAGGAAACGTCTCTGTGACTTATCAATCAATTTATTTCTGTTGGGAGGAAGAGCGATAAAAGATTCCTTTCATTTATTTTTGGCTGTGCTGCCTGACGTGAGTGTAAAGAAGCAAACAGGAAGTATTCATGTCAAAAAGATGTAGTTTTTTAAATAGATGATGAACCTAAAAAGTTTTGTCCATATTGTTCAGGTCTGAGAAATTTAAAGCAGAAGCAATTTTCCAATAAATACAACTTTTACTGCTTTATTCCTACACGACAGCTCCTTTTACTTAAACCATAAAACATGAGATGGGACAACAGACGCTGGTGCTCTGGACAATATGTCAACCTGATATCTGAGAACAGAGACACTACGACACTTGACTGTCTTCATTCTTCTCAGTTCATTCCAACAATCTTTCTGAGAGTCGACGTAACTGCAGAACAAGTGACACAGTAATGAGAACTTTGTCAGATCATCTGTCTGAGCAGCAGAGCAGCTGTGATCTCACACACCACACGGATACCGATTAAGGTATCAGTTATTTTCATCATTCGACATTTAGTTTGTGTTTTTTAGATTTTTAATTAATCCTCTTAATCTCTAAAATAAACGAAGATAACTTTAGAAAAGGGCGTCATAACATGCAGTTCGAGGAGAGTTTTATACGTTTCTGCTTAATTGCTTGGTATTTTTTTCACTGTGTACCATTATTAAGAACAAACTCAATCAGTTAGAAGGTTTCTTTTCTTGTCAGACAGCGAGTTATTAAGGAAGGAGCTGTTTTACCTTTTTGAAGTGTTTCGACTGTCAAGAAGTCGGATGACGTTTCTGAGGAAGACTGAAGTGACAGTCGCAACATGTCAAGAAGGTAAAACAGCTCCTTTCTAAATAACTCACCGTCTGATATGAAAAGAAACCATCCATCCATTATCTATACATCGCTTAATCCTCACTAGGGTCGTGGGGGGCTGGAGTCTATCCCAGCTGACTCAGGGTGAAGACAGGTTCACCTGGACAGGTCACCAGTCTATCACAGGGCTACACTTAGAGACAGACAACCAAGCACACTCACATTCACACCTACTGACAATTTAGAATCACCAATTAACCTCAACATGTTTTTGGACTGTGTGGGAGGAAGCCGGAGAACCCATGCTGCATGGGGAGAACATGCAAACTCCACGCAGAAAGATCAGTGACCTTCTAGCTGCGAGGCGACGGTGCTGACAACCGAGCCACCTTGCAGCAGAAAAGAAACCTTCTATCTAAAATCAGACTAAACAAAATGAGCCTAATCACGCTAAACTCACTAATATTTTGGATTTGATTTCTTGTTGCTACCATCAGAACGGGCGTACAGGGCGCCACCTCGGTGGACTTCCTGTGCCCAGAGATCCGTCGCACCCTCCATTACAGCTCTGGGAAACAACTCTGGGGTGAATTGAGGTTTGTGCTGCTGGGATTTTGTCGCGGTTTTGATTGTTTATGATGCTGTTTTGAGGCATTTTGTTGTTAAATGTCTGTCTAATTGTCTTTTCTGTTGCGGTTGAATACATCTGACAGCTGCCACCGACACAAAGAGAATTTCCGAAAGGACGATAAACAAGACTGAGTAATTCTACAGGCCGTAATAAAAAAAATAATGTGGGAGGAAATTAGATGATTAAAACTGAGAGAAAACAAATCAATCAATCATTAACGCAATTTATCAGGAAAAATTGCCTCAAGCATTTTCTAGTTTCTGAAAGGATTCGCTCCGGTTCTCTTTTTGACTCCGCTGTAAAATGGATGCGGTTATTTCGTTAAAACTTAAAAACAATTTAAAAGAATAAATAAATGATCAATGCATGACTCAATACTGAAAATATTCACATGCTGTGGCCCTGTATTGTGTAGTTCTTTTAATGCATCTCTACACACAAACACTTTCTCCCTTTACGCTATAAATAACGAACACTGATTTGGAGAATGGGATTACTTATTCTTTGGCACTCTGCACAGTTTAGCAGCACGACGTGTGATGTAACGACATGTGTACGGGATTGCTGGGCGGTGTGTGTGTGTGTGTGTGTGTGTGTGTGTCTGTGAGTGTGAGACGCTAAGACAAAAGTCTAAAGCTTTTATCCAATAAGCTGAGGCGCAGCGTTTGTTGTAAAGTACCGACGGGGGGGACGGCTCTTCCTAAAAACTGCGCAGCTGCTGAATGTAGTGCTGAGTCAATGAGGATTAAAGGAGGACCGCTCCCTTCTAGAAATACACCGCGGACGAGTCTTTTTTAGAGACGTCTGAGGACCAGTGAGGAACTGCTGGTTTCTAAAATTACACCGCGGCTGGTTTCCCTGCTGTGGGCGGTCAAATGGTGCAGAACGCAGAAGCAGATGGATATATGATGTAGCAGCTGGGATGGACGGCTGAGCAAAACGCTGCTCCACTGCAGGAGTAGTTTTAGGACCAGATAGGAGATACCATGGTGGCATGCAACTTCTACTACAACACTGAGGGTTATATAAGCCAGAGAAGGAAGTCTGAATGGTAGAGAGAACAGAGGGGAGCAAAACAAACCTACCGTTACAATCTCCAGCATCTCTGCCTTGCTGATGTACCCGTTCCCATCCAGGTCGTACATGCTGAACGCCCACTTCAGCTTCTGGTCCAGCCGGCCGCGAGAGGTGACGCTCAGGGCGATGATGAACTCCCTGAAGTCTATGGTGCCGTCTCCGTTGGCGTCGAACGTGCGGAAGACGTGCTCGGCGAACTTGGAGGCGTCGCCGTAAGGGAAGAAGTTGGCGTAGATCTTCTTGAACTCCTCCATGGACAGGGCGCCGCTGGGGCAGTCCCGCAAGAAGCCCTTGTACCACTCGGTGATCTCATGCTCGGTGAAGTCCGTGTTCTCCACCAGGTCCTGCATGACGTCGGGACGGAGCTTGCTGTTCTGTTTGCCCATGGTTGCTGATTTGACTGAGGCTGCGGTTGATGTGAGGGCAGCGGCGCTTTAGATTGCTGACAGCGGGAAAGGGAAGACAGAGAGAGACAGAAAAAGGTTGTTAAAAATAATCTGAAATGACCTTGAGCCTTTTTGATGTGAGGGGAAGAGGGAAGGAGGAGAGAAGAGATGAAATGGTAACAATTAACAGTCTCAATGCATTGTCACACATTAAAAAAAAAACTTGTAAAGGTAGTAGTTTAACTCTCCACCCCAACATCTACCAGCACGTTTACCAAAGACAGAAAATGCTATAAAAAGAGAGAATGCTCAGATTTTCAATAAAAACGGTCCTTGAACGATTCATCTGTGAAGTTTTGTTAACAAAAATGATCCAAATCTTGGTCTAAAGTCGTGATATTTCATCCAAACCACTTTACTCTACAATTAAAAGTTTGCCAAAGATAAACCATTTGCATTAACTAGATTCTGGAAAAAACAAAAAAAAAATTTTTTAAAAATCGTCTCTCCTTGTCACAACCATTCATGGACTCTTTAGTCACCAATCAGATATGTAGGTAAGCAGAATATCTATGGTATGTACAGTATATATAACTTTTTTCCTTCCTTCTTCCTTTCTAAGTAACCTCATTCTAACTTTGTTATACTCCAAGAAAGATATTTAGGAGTTCTGCCTGCTTCCACTCATGGCTTTGCTGTTTCTATAGATGCTGCAGGAGCAAAAAAAAAATGTCCAGAAACTTCTTGGGGTTCAGATGAATAAACCTGCAGTAACTGTGTTTGTGTTTTTGGGGGGCAGCACTGACACCAGCAATTACATGAAGCTGATACGCTGAAGCGAGGAGCAAACAGTTGCTATCACACATCCACTACACACAAAGGAACATTATCATTCATTTGGAGTTCCCCAGACAAATCTAAGTCCAATATTCACGAGCTGTTTTGGTCACTAACTCACAACAGAAACATGTTGTTCTTCAGCTCTAAATGTGTCGCTGTGTTCTGCGGCTAATTGCTGATTGTGTGTGTCTGCTGTGCAGGCGGTGTGCAGTGTTTATCAGAGCTCTGTCTGAGAGGCTGCTGGAGAGTGGAGCTATTGCTTGGGGAGTTTTGGGATGTCATAGTACCCTATTATTATGTTTACTTGAGCTGCTAATGTCGCAGTGTTGCTCACACAAAGAACTGAGAAATGTTACCCTGAATATGTGCAGAAACACCCCCCCTCATCTCGCACAAGCTAAACATATTAAGTTTCCTTTGCATGATCTGTTAAATGAATCACATGCTCTTATCTTGTTCATTGAGTTTGTTGTTAGGCAACAAATGCGAATAAAAGATATCATAAAAGATATGCCAGTAGTGTACCAGATAAAAAAAGAAAAGCAGAGATAAGTTCAGCGTGTGGTCTCCTACACATGCACAGCCAGGTTCAGGCTGCCACGCACCTGCAGCACGAGACCACCGAATGTGTTCATGGTGCACGACTACTACCGAAGCACAACCACACCTGCTGATAAGCCCGTGCATGCCAAAATGCCTGTGCATGCATCTCTGCAGAGGCAGCATCCATTTCCTGCAGGAACTCTGAGGCTCATTTGTCGATGCACACATCAACATCCTCTGTATTTACCAGATAAGACGGTTTATTGACCTGGTTTGGCTTTTGCAAAGTATTTGATAGTAGTTTGTGTCTGAAGCTGGGATTATAGCTGAAAAACCAAAGGCTCCAACATGCAATCGACAGTCATCCGGTCAGTAGTTTGTTGCAGAAAGTAAACCGGGAGTTTTAAAACTCAACAAGCGCATCATCTAACCTTGCAGCTAATGTGCTTAGCACCCTCCCCTGTCAGGCGGCTAGCTGCTGAGCTCTGCACCGCTAAAGGCAAGAGGGAAGCTGTAAAAAGCTTAGCCAAGGATAATGACAGATAAAATCAGCAAGGTCAGGTCAGGCCAAAGTAAATCACCGTAAAATTAGATGGTTTAGGAAATGGAAATAAACACTTATCGCCTCCTTGATCACCGTCAGTGTTTTGTCTAATGACCCCAAATCAGAATGTATAAAACAGGTGAGTTCAGAAAAGGTACAGAAACAAACACGTTAATTAAAATCTCACAAAAACTAGGAGCTAAATTTAGTCTAAGCCCTTGTGTAAGGTATTGTAGGATCCTCATACCAAACCTGTAACACTCACACAGGTACAGTATTACATTTCCAGCTTATAAATGTGCATACAGTTAGTGAAGCGTCCCTTTAGCTTTGTCTTTACATCTGTTCATTTAGCTGATCTATTAATTGATTAAGGCTAAGTGAGAAAGAGTTTCCACTGTGTTTACTTCCAAGTGTGTGCCTCAGTGGAAATATGCTTATCGGACTAATGAGAATGAATTTGGGATTAATTAAAACGGCTGCTTCAGAAATAAACTCAAAAGAAAGTCAACAAAAAAACACACGAGCAGCAGAAAAATGGAGCTACTGGTCATCGATTCGTTTAGCTTTGGCTTAGTTTTTGCATTTTAAGTGAAGCTGAATTGTGAGAAAGTGCATCCAGCTGGAATTAAACAATCAACATTTTCATTAGTTTTGTTAAATGCCATTTGTAAGAGAGCCCCGTCTTGGTCTCCCTTTATTTCAGTATCACTCCCGCTCCATAAACAGGCGGCTATAATCCTTTAATTAACTCTGAGTAAACAATGAGCTCGAGCAGCCACCTCCGATGAGCCCCCTGCTGTTACCAATAGTTCTCCTCAATGCAGCAGCAGCAGCGGGAGGACGAGATTAACACCTGTTTACATACTCATCACTCGTGGAACAAAACACATCAGCAGCGGCGCAGCATGGGGTGCCGTGTCAACCGCTGATACACGGACCTGAAATGCTTTTAAATTAGACGAGGGGCAAACAGTCTGCACCTGAGAGGGATAATTCATACAGACAGACAGGGGGGCTAATTAAGAAGCTGAGACCCGTATGTATCTGTTCATGAACCTATTAAAAGGCATTTACTAATCTGACACCTGAAACATTAGCCTTCCTCCCAGGGCTGTGACGGTATGTGCAGGTAGACTGAGGCGCCGTTCACTTTGCAGTTGCACCTGTTAATCTTGGAAAGCACAAGTGGAACAAAAATATTGATTGTGTAGCTTAGTGGACGGGATCTTTATGAAGGTTATTCATCAAACATTGCATTTCCTGTGACAACACATCAAAATATCAGCTCTAAAATGAAGTCCAGAGGCCTTTTTGCATCGACACTTTGACTCACAGGTGGGATAATCACAGCCGCATCCCGCTGAGGAGACCTTCTGCTTTTGTGCAAGATGGTTCACTATGACAGCTTCCTGACACACGTAATGGAACTAAACCATCACTCAACTACATACGGTCCTTGAACTGCTCATCTGGGACATGCTGTTTGGACGGATGGGGGGAAAAAAAATCAATCATTAATAAAAGAAATTTACTTTATTCTACATGTCTCATATAAAACTGTGCTAAAAAATAAAAACCGGTTGCTTTAATGGCCAATTGTTATACATCTATAACATGTAGAGGAACCTTATTTTGCAGTACTGGCAACACCAGTGGGTTTGGAAAACATTTGACATGTTGATTGCAGGTTTTTTTTCTCCATTTTGAAAAATAAATAATAAAAGAAATTCAGCTTTCAAATGTCATAACTTTATTACACTGCTGACATTTTGGAGTTCTCAGATGTGTAAATTCTTGTATATATTTATTATCTTATTTTATTTTTATTTCTAGAGTTATTTTACTTTATTTCTTATTTTTTTATTGCTCATTCCCAGGGCAACACCAACAGCTGATACCAACTCCTTGTATGTTGTACTTGGCCATTAAAGCTGATTCTGAACTCACAGTGAATAATGATGTGACAGGAGCGAAGAAAAATGCTCAGAAAACTTCTTGAAGTCTAAAAGGTCATGAGCCTGAGCAGAGGTCCAACCAGCTAATACCCCAGCACACCTCTGTGGGTCTCAGGTGCCAAAAATGAATTGCTCATTGTGAAGAATGATGGTTATTACACAGTAATGAACGCCAGTGTTTAAAAATTACATCTGCAGTACGTCAGTTAAGGTACTAGCTTATCAGGGAGGCTGAATTTGTTACTCGTTCGATCAGATATGCCAGAAAAGAAGCTATGATGCTGCAGGACGCATCAAAAATAAAAACGAGACACCCGGTTACTTTAACATGAGTGCAGGGATATCGAGCTCTTTTAAAAAACATGATTTGTGAAATTCATTGGATACTAATTCAATTTTCACGATGCATTTGTATTTTTTGCACCTTCATCACCACAGATCATGAGTAAATCAGGCTATTATTGATACATGATTCATGCAGAAGGGTGACTCATCACGGAGTCGCTTTAATAAAGAAGCCAGCATGCACGCTGGCATTAAAGCGCAGCAGCACAATATCCAAAACTTTAACTCGATTATCAGAAAAAAAACTTCTAAATGCCAAGTGGCCGCGACACAAAAGGACAAACCTACAATTTGTGCTACTAAAAGCAGGTGGCAGCAGCTACTTTTCAGACCCTTTCTTACTCATTGTTTATATTTTTATCAATAGGAACAGTGATGAATAAAAACAGAAGTGCTTTATAAATGTTGTATCTGTCATTTTTGATGATGAAAAAGAGAAAAGAAAAACCTCCCAGTGCAGTTCGCTCACTGCTTCAGATTACACAAGAAGTAAATGAGTGAGGAAGAAGAGTAGAACCTGCATCAATCTACTGTAGGGTTGGGAAAATATAATACGAAACACCTACAATGATGTGAATTTGTCAACCATCAGAGCTTTTCAAACCAGTTTACATCTTTGGAAATGCTACAAACTACTGAGCATCATAGGGCTACATAAGAGATGTGATAAAAAAATAGAGATTAGTATGTTTTTTATCTATAAATGGTTGCTTCACTGAATTTTCATAAACTATATCAATATATTTTATATAAACTCCTCACGGCAAATAAGAGTTTGGCTGTTACCGAGTTAGTATTAAAAAAAAAAATCATTTTAAAGACAGTG